CGGTCTTTTATGGGCAATGGGTTTTATTAGAGAAGGTTTCGGGTCGGGGTGTGTTGCTAGAAGCATAGGGCTTCTCGCCCACCTTTTCGTGGATATAAAGTTCGTCGGAAACGGATTTAGAATAAAGGAGTTATGACATTTTAAAGAAAGTGACATTTATGGCCCTTAATGGAAAAAGGTGTCGAAGTAGGCCATGCATGCAATTGGGACACGCGTGAGTACGCCCAGCGTAATAGAGCAAATGTTTGCGGGTGCAAGGACGCATACGCCCAGCGTACGCTCAGAGTCATTAAACCCTAATTTTGGGGCCAACCACTATATAAAGAACATAAGGGATCAACCCTAGCCTCCTTATCTGTTTCCTTATCCTCAGAAAACCCTAGATAGCCGTTCCATTTCCATTGTTGGGTGTGTTTGGCCTTGTGGAGCTTAGTTTGGCAAGGAAAGCTTAGAAGAAGAAAGAAGAGGTTGGCAAAGAAGGAACCTTGGTGGCTGGAGCTTGTAGATCTGAGATAGCAGCACCTTTTGCAACTACTTTAAGGTATAAAGCTTCTTGCTTGACATCTATTTTGTGTAGATCTAAGTGTTGTGGAGTTTTGACACCATTCTTGTCCCAAAAAAACCCCCAATATGATGCATGATGTGTTTTGGTTAAGATAAGTTGTCCTTTCAGACCATAGGAGAGGTCTTGAGTGAGAAAAATGAGGTCCCAATGGCTTTGGTTGCCCCATGTGTGAAGTAGGGAGGTCTTAATGGGTTAAGACCTTGAGTTAAGAGCTTTATGGACGTCAAACAGGATAAAGTTTGAGACTTTATGAGTCCTAGGCCCTTTTTGTCACTAGATCTGGCATATGGGCTTAAGTGCTTAAGCCATTAAGCACCGAGAAGGATTTTTGGTACAGACGTGCGTACGCCCCGCGTACCGGAGGAGTACGCCCAGCGTACGCCCTCTGTTGGGTTTTTGATTTTGGGCCTTAAGTGATTGGGATGTTTATGGGCTAGTGGGGCTTGGGCCGTGACTGAACATTATGGATGGAGTAATTTAGACCCAATAATTATTATGGACCTTGGATCTAGGCCCATTTGGTGAGGTGGGCCCAATTTAGTAAATTGGGCCAATATTGGGCTTTGCATGAGGATTTGGTTTTGGGTCTTGGCCCAATAAGAGGATGATGGACTTAATGAGTGTTGTGGGCCCTTGGCCTACAAAGTCATGTTGGATTCTAACTTGGTGATTATCATGTGATAGTTGGGAGTCCCGGTGAGTCAGCGGTCAGAGATTTGCAGGATTTCGGCAGTTGCAAGGTGAGTTATCCTCACTATATCGACATGGTCTATGGCACCAAGGCCGGCCCTTTATCGGATGGAAATCCGGGTATTGTTTGTTATGTTATTGTTTTGCTAGATCTGCATCCTGGTATTTAGGATGGTGTTATGTTAGTGACCTGGTTAAGGTCGGTACCCGGGATATAGGGTAATGTTATGCTAGTGACCGGTTAGGTCGGAATCCTGGTTAGGATGTTGATATGCTATGTGCTCTGTTAGACTGTTTGTCTGGTTGAGGATTGTTATGTGATTAATTGTTGTATGTGCACATGGTTGTTTGACAGGGGTTGGGTTGAGGCGGGTCCTGCTTTGTGCTGTAGGCCAACATACCCAGGGCGGACCGGATGTTCCGAAGGCCCAGCGAGCGGTCCGGATAGGCTGAAGGCCCCAAGAGGGCGGACCAGACGTGCCGAGGCTCGGAGAGTGGACCAGGCCGACTGAAGGCCCGGTGCGGGCGGACCAGTCATACTGTAGACTCAAAGAGTGGACCAGGTGGATTGAAGGCCCGGTGCGGGCGGACCAATCACACTATAGACTCGACGTACATGGCTGGACTCGGAGGGTGGACCAGGTGGACTGAAGGCCCGGTGCGGGCGGACCAGTCACACAGTAGACCCGATGTGGATGGTTGTTCTATTTATGATATGTTATGAGTATGATATGTGTGGTTGGTATTTTGGGGGTAACTCACTAAGCTTTCGGGCTTACAGTTTCAGTGTATTGTTTCAGGTACTTCAGGAGATCGTGGCAAGGCGAAGGCGTGATCGTACCGCTCCTCATGTTTTATGATTTATATGATATGGTTCTAGGGGATACTCTGATGTTTAAAGTATTTTGAAAATGAGTTGTATGAACGTAATGGTTTTTGAATGATTTAAAATGTTTTAATTTGGCTCAAATTTTATGGGTGTTACAGTTAAATTTCGTTTTGTGGTGTAGAAGCATTTGTATAAGCAAATAAATGGTTGATAGTCTTATGAAAAATCATAATCTAAACCTTATGCATAGAAACTAAACAGACATCTAGAGTTAATTACTTGCATGATTATATATGACACCTGTAAGATATTTATTAACATTATAAAATGTTTATTAAATTATTAATCCTTTTAACTTTTTAATATTAAAAATTATTTGATATTTAATAATATTTTTAAAATTGTTGTTATTTTTATATTAAAGTTAATAAATAGTTATAGCTTTGATATTAAAGTTCCTATATAATTGGATACAACGATATTATTGACACACCAACATAAAAAGTAAATTTTTTATCTGTTTATTTTGTAACTTCAGTTAAATTGGACACACTTGAATTTGAATCCTAGCTTTGTCACTGCCCACAATATGAGTCTGGCGTTCCCTCAGGCCCACAACTCATATCTGGCTTGCTCCTGAGTCCACAACATCAGTCTGGCTTGCTCTCGGGGCCCACAACTTATGTATGACTTACTTTGGGTTTGTTGGCTACCGCACAAAGTAGTACCACCTCAACCCAACCATACCATGTCTACATATATATAACCTATAACATATATCTAGTAAATAGATAAACATATAACCAATCATCAGACAAACAAGAATATCAACATATCACTACCACATACTACATCTTATTTACCAGGATATCGATCTAACAAACCGGTATAACATCAACATCCTCTATACCACGATATATAATCTAATGGGCCAACATTGATGCTTTCGACTCACATGTATAGTGAGGAAAACTCACCTCTCAGTCTGAGATTATAGCTGAATAAATATTTGCTCCGAATATCAGCTCTACTCGTCACCTAATCATCATATAGTGACCAATCTCATATACAACTCAAAATATGCAAAATACCCTTAGGTCAAGCCTGGTCAAATCTTGGTTAAAGTCAAAAGTCAAATTTGGTCAACCCAGCAGGTCGCCAACCCGTGGCCATCCATGGCCACGCCGTGGTCTCAATGCGACAAAATAGGCGTGCTCAGCCCGACCACTACGTCGTGGTGAGGCTCCACCACGCCGTGGTGATCAGTTAGAATGACTTAATTCCTTAAGCCGATTCCAATCCATTCCAGGAGTTCTCAAACTCAAAATAGGTCCAAACCACAACCTTGATGGATTAAGTTTCCAACTTTATCTTTTAAACTTTGCCAATAAGTCAAGATCAAAACCCCAAGTCCTTAATGGAGGCATAAAGCACATACCACCCATTAAGCACTTAATCCCTATAATTACTTCTCCAAAGTTTCCATAAGGGTTTCCAACACCTTCTGGACCATAAAAATCATAGCTTTAGGGACATGAATGTCCATTCCATTTTTAAGGCAAAACAGGGGAAAAAAAGGCCAAGGTTCCATGTATGGCCTCAAAACTCAAATCTACTTCGGATCCTTCTCATACTATTACACATGGTTATGTTTCGAACCTTCTCATACTATTACACATGATTATTACACATTCATCATTTGATATTAAAAATACATATTCATGAGCTTGCTACGTTTCAAGTAAATTAGACCACAAGTAGGGCTGTAAATGAACCGAACGTTCAACAAACTGTCTGTGAACCGTTTGACGGAAAGTTCGTTATTTAATAAACGAACGAACATGAACAAAAATTCTTGTTTGTTTAGCTAAACGAACGAACATGAACAATGGTTTTGTTTGTTCAATTAAGTTTTTGAACGTTCATTTATGTTCGTTAATTTAAGTTCATTATGTGTTAAATTACATTACGATATTATATGTTTGTTTATGTTAATATATTTTCAATTATATTTGTTTATCTCCGTTCGTTTATGTTCGTTTAGCAAGTTCACGAACATAAACGAATGAACATTAACAATGTAATTTGTTAACAAATGAACATAAACAAGAAAACTTGTTTGTTTACCCATTCGTGTTTGTTTATTTGTTCGGTCAACTTAAACGAATAAAAATAAACAAACCCTTGTTCTTGTTTGTTCGGTTCGTTTACGACCCTAACCCTAAAATAGGTTTGAACCAACATGGTGTTTAAATCTGGTATCATTCAAAGGAGGGAAAGCAAATGTTTCCCCACTCATCCTTGGTAAGATGTACCATTGTTGCACCTTTGACTATGGTACAACAAGAACTTCCTGAAAAAGTATCATTCATCCTTCAAATCAAGTTTTCTTTATTATACCTTTTGGATCTTATTTGTGTTAAAAATGTATCAAAGTTATAAACCTTTATTCTCAATAATAACAACATAACTACATAAGAGAAAAATGATAAAATATGGCATTATTTTACAGAAATCCGATCTTGATTATATTCTGTAATCTATAGTTTATAATTGATATGTGTAGTCTCACACAAATGGGACAAGACTTTGAGCATGATCTCTCTCATCTCAAATTGTCATGGCCAACCCAAACCCACATGATTTTTAAGCATATGATTTCCCAGACGGGAAGAAGATAGATGAGTTGTACGTTAGAGCTCTCTTCATACATATCTCCGTACAAGTAAATAATGCATAGCAAGTATACAAGTACCATTATTCATATACATCTGTAGAGTACTGTTGGAAATATGTTTGTCGTTTAGGGGTAGAGGGGTAGTAAAAGTGGGTCCCATCACTGTCAAAACTGACAAGCAATGAAGTCATCAAACTCGCTTCTTGAAAACTTGCACATCTCCCCCTTCACCACCTTCCTCCACATCTCTCTCTCTCTCTCTCTCTCTCTCTCTTTTCTTGAAAACTTGCACATCTCCCCTTCACCACCTTCCTCCACATCTCTCTCTCTCTCTGCCGTTCTCTCTTCCCAATTTATCTCTCTAAAAGATCCTTCGAAACCCAGCTAGATTTCCCCATTTTTGAAGAAACTAAGAAAAACCCATATCGGTAGATTGATTGTTAGATTGTGTAAATACATATAAACACAGTACAGATGCATTGATGAGTAGGGTGTCCACCGGAATGTTATAGCGGGGGGTGGTGAATGGGTTGTGTAATTTCTCATCTCAGTGCGAAATTCGCCTTCTTTCCTCCGTCTCCGCCTACCTATCAGATCAAGAAACGAGACGACGGTAAACTAACTGCTATATACACATCCTCCTCCATGCCGCTGACATCGGCTGTCGGAGCCGTTGATGATGGCGGTGGTGGCGGTGGTGGTTGCTCGTTTGATGTGTTGTCGCTACGCACTAGAAGAGGCAACAAGATTGTAGCTTTTTATCTTAAGAATCCATATGCGAAGCTCACACTGCTGTATTCTCATGGAAATGCTGCTGATTTGGGTCAACTCTTTGACCTCTTTGTTCAACTCAAAGCAAATCTCAGAGTCAATCTTATGGGGTCGGTTTTTTCTCTTCTACCTAACTTTTTCCCCTAAATTAATGTTCCCAAATTATCGACATTTAGCTTACGAATGTTTGTTTGAATTGAATTTCCTGTTTAGGATAATGAAACTTTCCCTTTTTCTTTTTCTTTAATTTGCAAGAAATCATGATATTCTTTTCTTGAATCTTTGGTTATATAATCTTATCTAGCTTTCTGCAATCTCTAATGTAATGGGTATTTCTCTCTCTCTCTCTCTCTCTCTCTCTTTTTTGTTTATTTTACTTTTACTTTAAAGAAAGTTTTGATCTTTATCTATGGATGTAGTCTCTTCATGATTTAGTTACAGTGTGTTTTGACCCCTTTAGATATGAATGATCTCTTTGAATGTCAAATCTCTATGTGCAAAGTTGTTAATAACTCGTATAAAGTTTGATGTTTGTTTTTTTGTTTTACTTACTTACTTAAATCATGATATTGATTTGACTTCACTTCTTATGCTCTTTGATGTGATTGATTTTGGACTTTTTGGTTTTTTGTTCTTCTCTTTAAAATTTGATTTGGATTTGGATTTGGATTTTATGAATGCTATATTTAGTTTGATGCATGAAGTATCCTTTTCTCCTTTCATGTCAAAATAATGTACAAAAAACTAAAAGATTTCAAGATTTGTTTTCTAAAATATAGAAAATCTTTACAAGATCCTTTTGGTAGATAATATAGATATGTATAGCATTACAATTATGTTTTTTCCTAATCCACTTTCTTGAACTTTTTGGCTTGGTTAATAATTGTATCTTGTGGAGATAAAAATAGAAAAAAGAAAAAAAAAAGTCGTTAGCTTTTGTAGGATCTTACTTCTTTTCTCTGGTCTTTGGCTATAAAAGTATCTGGAAAAAGGGTAGAAACTGAAACCCTAATTTCCCAATTAGGTTTTTTACTTCTTTTAGTTAAGTATTGGCGATGAGATTTTTACAGTCATCTTTTTCACTTTCACATTCATATATGAATAGTTTCTTTTTTGATTTTTTTTTTCATTTACAGATATGATTATTCAGGCTATGGTGCATCAACTGGAAAGGTAAACTTGTGAATAAACAATATCCAATTACCAAATATCGATAATTTGGGATTATACAAATGTGATTAAAAATTCATTTTTTTTTGTTAAATAAATTTCAGGCAAGTGAGCTGAATACATATGCAGACATAGAAGCAGTATACGAGTGTCTTCAAACGGAATATGGAGTCAGCCAAGAAGACTTGATTCTTTATGGTCAATCAGTAGGAAGTGGGCCCACATTGCATTTGGCTTCTAGATTGCCCAGGTTAAGAGGCGTTGTTTTACACAGTGCTATTCTTTCTGGCCTTCGTGTTGTCTGCCATGTCAACTGCATGTTTTGCGTTGACATTTACAAGGTTCTTTTTTTATTTTTTATTTTTTTTATATTTTTTTTTTATATTCATTTCAAATTCTTAATCTTGTTTTTTGGACTCTTATTATCTTATATTTTTGATTTGCAGAATGTTAACAAAATTCGGAAGGTGAAATCCCCCACACTTGTGATACATGTAAGTCTTGGCCTGAATGGGTAATGATGTCTGTCTGGAATCTGGTCTCTGGATAAAGCGTTAAATGACCATTTATACCCTTACATTACAAATAACAAATTTCATAATGTTCATCACTTTTATTAAGCTAGTTTTTTATTTTGGCTTAACTCATTAAGTAAAATAGAAACAGCCATGAGCCATGTAAATGTATAGCTGTCTTGTCTTAGACTAAGTGCTTAAGGGATGGGATGACTACTGAATTATTGTTTATATGAATCTTTTAATAATTTGATGATGTAAAAATGACAGGGCACCGAGGACGATGTGGTAAATTGGCTACATGGAAACAGGCTATGGAAGATGGCTAAGGACCCGTATGAACCCTTATGGATCAAAGGAGGTGGACACTGCAACTTAGAATTATACCCTGACTACATTCGTCATCTTTACAAGTTCATATATGAAATGGAGATCATGACCACAAAAACTCGTCTTTCAAAGATCAAATTATCAAAAAAGACATCATCTGCCTGTCGTTGTTCTTCTTGTTGTATAAAAGTCGGGCAGCCAAGCTGGGGCTGCCCGAAATGCCCTAAACCTCGTTGCCCGGAGTGTTGTGGCCTGCCAAGTTGTTGTTTGAACTGGAACAGTTGCTGTTGCGGGTGGGTGAAACCGAAATGCCCGGATGTGAAGTTACGTAAATGCCCTTCGTGTTTCGGATGTGGATGTTTTACGTGTTTAGGGAAGTGTGTGAGGTGTTCGTGTTGGTGATATAGGTTTCGGGTGGGTGTGGGTATACATGTTATGTTAGGATTACGAGAAGGGAAGGTTATAATCGTAATTTAACGGTTTGTATAGATTTTCTACGGCTCGTGAACAAGTGCATGAAAATGGCGAAAACAATAGGTATTTAGAGCTTTGATGATAACTCGGTTTTCTCTAGATTTCTTTCTATTTTCTTCCAAAAAAAGTATTTACATATTTATGGTGATTTGTTCATTTATACGCACGAGTGAAACGTTTATAGATCATACCAAACCGATCATGTTTTCAACCAAAAACCATGATATGGTGGAAAATCGGGCTAAGGTTATCTAATTTAATCACAAGTTTTTCATGTTTCTTTTTAGTCCATTCTTTATATAGGTCTCTTTTCCTTCCCTCTCTAGTTTGTGCAAGATTGTAGATCCCATTTCCCCCAAAGAAAGTGGACAATAAAGCGAAGAAAAAGGGAAATAAGAAACATAAGGTATAAAAAGATGACAATAGTAGAGTTCTAATGAAAGATGATATTAAGAGAAAATCAGGTAGTTACTTTTCTTTTTGATGGTGAGAGATTATATATAAGAATAAACGAGGGGTTGTGCTATAAATATCTCCCATTCACTCACATAAATAGTCACATCAAGGGGTATACAAACACTATTACACTCACATGGAGAAGGGGTACACAACATTGGGGGGTATGTATACAAATTACCTAAATAAGATGCCCAAAATTAAAATTATAGATGTATAAAATTACTTGGTTATATTATGAGAGAGGATTCCGAGGCTAGGTTAAGACGTAAAACAATATCTGAAAATCAATTTAGTTTCATGCATGAGAGATCGACAACCAAGGCAATCCATCCTCGGATGCATTGTGGAGAAAAATAGATAAAAATGATGGAGAAGGCGTATGCTCGTGTATTGTGAGATGATTTTGAGGACCCTATGATCGAGTTAAATGTTAGGTTGGATACTTGGAAAACGTCATTGGAAGAAAGAGTGTTATGAATCATAACAATTAAGACGATATATATGGTGTAATTTTAACGGGAACTAAATAGTGAATGAGTATACATATCATTATTTAGCAAGTTGTATACCAAAATGAGAGTTTCAAGTACCTAACATCTATAAAGGTGTTGAATATGACATATGAGTTCTATGTGACAAAAAGGCCTAACTGAAACTAAAAAGAAAAATTCTACATGGTGGTTATAAGGTCAACTTTGTTGGACAAGATAACCAACATATGAAGGTTTTCCTTTTATTCTTTATCATGGGCCAACGTTTCATATGTAGGTTTTCCTTTTATTCTTTATCATGGGCCAACGTTTCATATGTAGGTTTTCCTTTTATTGGAGGTTGTTAATGGAAGTAGTCTTCCTACAATCCTACCCTCAAGTAGAGGTTGCCTATATCTGACCTTCCCCTTGTCACATTTTAATGGGGCTAGGTATTTTTGTTGCATTTTTAATAAAATGAGTTCATGTTAATGCTTGTTAAGATGGATCATTTGATTGGAAAAAAAAAAAAAAAAAAAAAAGTAAATGGCCCACATTTATGTATATATATCAAATAATGGTTAAAAACCCAAACCAAATTAACTGCAACTTGAGTTGAATGAAGTTGTAATATACTACTAATAATATGCAGCCACTGAATACAAAGTTTTCTACTTGAATGAAGATACATTATTCTGATGCCTTTTCTGAGCCAGCTTATGCTTCATTGTTTCTGCATGCTTTGTAACAAGACCACCTGTAGAACCCAATAAGAAACTTAAAACTTAAAACTTAAAACTTAAAACTAACTAATATGATGCTTTCATTATGATCTTGGAAGACTTAACACATCATGATTTGAATTAGTCAAAGTTAGGGTTCATAAATGACAATTTCGATAATGGGACTAATGTTTGGTGATTGATGATTGATGATTGATCGTTTTACCTGGGCGTGAAATAAGGTGAATACGTGAACGAGGTCCTTCAAACATCCAACTATCTTCATCCAACATTCTTACTTCCTTGTTTAGTGAAGCCATCAAATCAGATTTCAAAGCTGCAATTACAGTTTACAACACTAAATCTGTAAATCATCTTCCATATGAATGTTTCAAAATGCGTTACTGTTGCCTCATATTAACCCTAGTACTTTTCAATTCAGAATTCACTGAGCTTTTGTAACAAAATTCAAACACCCACAAGTAAAATTGCAAACAACATGATCGAAACCTAGAAATATAGAAGCGAATTAAAAAGTTATTCGGATGGAAATGTTCATTAAAAATAAGTAATATGATCTGTTTACGATAATATATAGACATGGTTATAGATTTTAAACCTCGAAGAGCCTCATCTTTACGATCTTGGATAGTAATGAGATCGGTTGAGAAATGGACCTCATCGGCGCCTAGTGATGAAGACATAACGTTGGCTCCTATTATCGCCGTCGTCGATATCGACGACCTCGCCGGTGATGACGTCAGTGAACTGTTGCTCATCGGCTCTGTTCTCGATTTTCAAACGAACTAAAGTAAAACTTTGTTGGGGATTTTAATTTCATCTGAATCCCTTCAATATATATCCCAAATTCCGAACTAAAATATTATTATTAATCTTGTCCCTCAGCTTGTGAACGTTACAATACCACCCCCAAACTTTCTAGTTTACCAAGCATCTTTCAAGTTAGCATTGATGATTTAATTAGAGAAAATAACAAATATATCTATTAAAATAAATTAAGAATTAAACAAAAATTAATAAATTCTATAAGACTATCCCCATTATCAATCCAACCCAACCCAATTTTTTTATAAAAATTTAATTTTTCTTTCCTCCATCTATACAATCCAACCCAATCCAATCCAATTATTCACACACATTAACAATCCAAACCAATCTAATTTAATATTAAAAACTATATAAAAAAGTTTATATTAATATTGGTCTTGTTTTGTTTTGTAGAGAACAATAAATTATATATTACAGTATATTTTATTTGATTTTTTACTAAGTATAAAACGTAGTTATTAACTAAATTAGATTTAAATATAAAAGTTAATTTAAGTCCACCTATCTAAAAAGGACACTTGACAACATAAAGAAATAAAAAATACACAAACTTTTTGGCGAGCCTTTTGGTGAACGACTCGTTGGGGCAGCCTAGATCATCAAATATGTTTCATTTTTCTTTTTATTTTTTAATTTTTTTTGACGAGACAATCCTAAAAGATCACCAATGGGGATAGTCTAATAACCATGAATCTCATAGGTCCAACTTGTGAAATTGACCTTATATATAACGTCTTCTTCTCTTCTCGAGTTTTTTTCTTTATGAAATCTTTCTCAAACAAATATTTATTCTTAAAGAATACAAAGCTCTCTTTTGCATTGAAATGATATGTGAAGATTCGTACAACAAAAATGTTCAAAAAAAATAATTAAAAGGTCATGATTTTTATAAAAATATGAAACTTTATGCGGTGAACATAATATTATTATTATTATTATTATTATTATTATTATTATTTTCTTTACAAAACGACACTGCTCGGGCATGTTTGAACTAGTCAAACATGCAAAATAATTTTTATTTCAAAACAACCTTGATTTAGGCATTTCGCAAGTTATATGGTAATTTTGCAAAGGGTAATTTTGCACGTTGAATATGTGAAATTAATGGTTATTTGGGAAAAAAAACATGTTATTTTTACCTAAGACCTCTTCTAATATATTATACATTTTCTCTTTGAAACATATACTCCAAATAAAAACACAATTTAGATGATATATGTTTACATGAGCTTTTACATTCAACATTCTTGTGGTTTAGGTTGTGTTCACTGTTTAGCGTCACAACTAGCTGATAAGCTAGCTTATTTGTCGAGTTTTTTAACTTTTTATGTTTGACAAATAAAAAAATAGCTTATAAGCTAGCTTTTTAAAAGTTTTTAAATTTTTTTTCAAATATACCATTTAATTAATTATAAAAACGCATTCTTTTAAATATCATTTTATGTCATTTTATATTTTTCAGGTAGCTTTTGAGCTAGTTTTACCAAATGATATTTTTTATCAGCTAGCTGAAAAGCTGGTACACCAAACATAATGAAAGTTGTGGATACACTTATTTATATTTGTTTTTAATTTATTTATTTACTATCAACTACTATCCACGGGTCTATCATTCGGTCAAGAGATCTAACAAACTCTAAAGTATTTAAAAAATTTATCTTAAAAACAACTTATATTCATCAATAATCAATACCACTATCATTATGTTTGTTAAACGGGAGTTTTAACTAGTAATTTTTTTTTTAGTTTTCACAAAATTATAAGACACGAGTCTGTAAAATCCAGCATAAGCCTCCCCCTCTAAGGTCAAAATGGTAAAAACGACCATAACACTATTTTATCTAACTACATTTGTACATACTATTCAAACATATAACCTCAACCTTGTTTCATATCTGAGGAAAGAAGTCCCATTTGTTGGGTCAGCTCCTGCAGCTCACCCTTGGGACTTCCGTTTCCATTCATCAGAGCCGGGCCCATATCCTGTGGGCCCGGCTCGAAAAACTGCTCCCAAAAATTCAACTCCACATCACCACCAGGAGACAAACTCCCATTCTCCAAAATCTTTTCAATCAAATCCCCATTCATCACATCTTCCACCATATCAGCTAGATAAAACTCACCGGAGGCTGGCGGCGGCACCACCTCCTGAATCATAACTCCGGGAGGTGGAGGTGGAGGTTGGTATTTGACAATCTGTCCATCGTCTTCCTTAATCCTCCGTTTTTTATTATTCCCTTCTGTAATAAGCTTTGTACCCTCGTTTTGTTGTACAAAATGTGCCAAAAATCCGGGGCTATTGACTGCTTTTGCTAAAAAGGACATCATTTGTTGTTGCCTTTGTTCCATGCCTTGAAGACGTTGCACCATTGATTGCATTGTGTTATCGGTGGCTTGTTGTTGTTGTCTTAATCTAACAAGCTCTTGCATTAACACATTTTTGTCTCTTTTTAGTCTTTCCACCTCTTCTTCTAGACCGAATTTTCCAACTTCTACACATGAGGTGACTGAAGGGGTTTGTAATTGTGTGTTTGGTTGATGGTGGTGGTGGGGTGGTGGGGCGGGTTTCCGGCGGATTATGGTTTTGAGGAGGTGTTTTTGACCACGTAAGAATC